TTACCTGGAAAGTTTGGATGCGGAACAGTTTTTTTTTTGCATATCTGGCTCCAATCTCAAACCCAGTTCACACCCATATAAGATTTGACCGATTAAACTGATTAGAGAGATTCAGATCTGTTTTTATCATATAAATGCATGACATCATACAAAGTGTGTGTTATTTTGTAAGGTTGCTCAATCTACCTTGTAAGTTCACAGTGAGATGTCATCAAAGACACGAGCAGAGGCAAGATGTCTGGTTTTCCGTCCTCTCATTCCACACTGACAGCTACTCAGCTGTTGAATGAGAAAGTCTCCTGGCATTGCGTTGACGCTTACATCATTAACCGATGTACTACAGTCACCGATGTAGATTGCACCAGACCCCGTCTGAACAAACAGATCAGAACAAACCAACTGACAGGCATTCCTTGAGATCAGATATAAAAGTCAACTCATATTTGTCTGAAAAAGCCTCATTTTAAATGTCATCCTACAGGAACTGATCTTCTTCAGGTGGCAGCACATGAGTTTGGTCATGTCCTGGGTCTACAGCATTCTCTGGAGCCTGGAGCCATAATGTCCCCATTTTACAGCTTCTCTTATCCTCTCCAACTCAGTGAGGATGACAAGAAAGGGATTCAATACCTCTACGGCCCCCGGCCGCAAGCCCCACTCCAAATCCCTACAGAAACCAATGAGATTATCACCAGTGCAGTGAGTCCCTGAACATTTAAACACTGGCAAAATGAAACATTTAAAAGAATGTCAACGGCAACATCAACAGCATTTTTGGTGTAATGTTGATTACCACAAAAAAAATAACAATTAAATTTTTAATTGTGTAATTTTTCAATTTAACCTCTTTTTTTCCTCTTTTTTTTTTTTTTTTTTTACGAAAACCAGAGGCAATTCATAATTTTTTTTTTGTGGTAATCATTATTAATGTTACAATTATATTACAATTGTATTGTGTTATAACTATTATGGTATTAAACCCAAAATATTCCAAAAACATCACATATTTCATATTAGTTTATCTATATATTCCCTTCATTCTCACTCTCGTTATCCCATCTCCTCTCGCTGTCACTGTTTGTAGCCTGACGCTTGTCACACAGACTTCGATGCTGTGTCTGTAATCCGTGGGGAATTGTTCTTCTTCAAGGCCAGTTATGCCTGGCGCATCAGGGAGGGCCGTCTGCAGGCAGGATACCCTGCCCTGGCCTCTCGACACTGGAGGGGCATTCCAGAGAAAATAGGCGCCGCCTATGAAGACAAAAAGGGCAATATCTGGTTCTTTGAAGGTGGGTGAGTTCAGCACCGGTGGCTGACTGTGGTGATTTGTGGTTGCAGGACAGGATCAGACAGGCCTGGTTATATACATATCTATGGTGATGGGTGGTGCGGTACTTCCCCTTGACCCATATCTAAAGCATCCTTCTTTGTGCCTCTAATGCAGGGCATGATTAAACATGAGCACGCAGAACACATGCTGCTAACAACAGATTAATACATGTGTTGTGTTGTGCAGTACAGTACCTAAACGACTAATTTTACAGACCCTTAAAAAGCATTAAAACGGCTTAAATTCACTTTTCCATCATTTAAGGCCATAAATAGTCTAAACATTGTGATCTGTATACCAATTATTATTATTTACTGTCTTTCAGTGCTCTTTATACTGATTTATATGCTAACTGCTGTTTAAAAAAATATTTTTTAAGCCATCTTAGAATACTGTATATCATTCAAAAGGCTGAAAAATATGTATATTTCTATTTCATGCTGACTTTGAACATGCAGATAGATTAATACATACCATAAATTAATACATTGAACAAATGTTTAATACGGTGTAGTATTAAATTGTGTCATTTAAGACAAATTCTTCCGATGGAGTCTTATCATTATTTGCCTTTGTTTTACCAACGTGCAATGAATTTGAAGATCGATAACAAATAATAGGAATAATGAATAATAATAAAATGGAATAAAGTGATAGTTATGTTGAATTAAAATACTACATTAACGCAGTCATATTTACTCTTTACTCATATGTACTTTTTCTGTTATGTCCTCTGTTAGGTTCCAACTACTGGGTGTTTGATGCAGAACACAAGATAAAAGGACCAGACCCTCTGCAGACTATAGGACTTCCTGTCATGGACATTCAGGCTGCACTGCGCTTAAAGGAGCACCACAGCCACCATACATACTTCTTCAAATCAGGAAACTACTGGCGTTTGGATTCCCAAGAGAACAGCGTGGACACGGCCTTCCCACGCAGCATCCAGCAGGACTGGTGGGGCATCCCTGATGAGATTGACGCCGCCTTCCAGGATGCGCATGGTACTTCCAGCTCAGCCTTTTTAATAGATATTAGTGAATGTTAATATTAATATGAAAGAAATCAGGTTATGTAAGTTAAGAAAGTTTGTTGAATCTGCGTTTTTTAATGAATCATTTGAGTGACTGACTCAATGGACCATTCAAAAGTCACTTTTTCTTTTCTGAATGTGACTAAGTGACTAATAGTAAGAGACTTAAATTGCTTTCCATTATAAAGTAATTTTTTTCAAACCTTATTAGATGTATGCATCACCTTTTATGACAAATTCTTAGATTTCATTAACAAATTCAATAAGAAGAATAAGACAATATTTAAAGTAAAATTTCAAATATTATATTTAAATATTAAAAATGTTATTTTAAATAATTAATCTCATTATAATTACTTATAATTATTTATGCAGTTGTAATTGCAGTGTAAATGCATTTTTTAGCTGCTTTAAGCATTCTGTGTAAATACATCTAAATGCTACTTCAGATGCCAGCCCTGCAGTGCAAAGATGGATTGTGTTGATACTGAATTAAAAAAAAAAAAAAAAAGTGAAGTGAATTCATTGATTCATAACCACCGATTTGTGTCTTATTTTTCTTATTGAATTTATCGATGAAATATAAGAATTTGATATAAAAGGTGATGCATACATCTAATAAGGTTTGAAAAAATAACCTTATAATGGAAGACAGTGGAAATCAATTTAACTTACATGGAAGTCACTGCTGTGAACTGACCACCACACAGAATATAAAGAATATGAAAAACTTTGCTAGTCATCAGGCCTAAACCAGCCACGATACCAACACAAAATACACTTGTCTTAAATATATTGTCTCAATTATCATTCTTGACAAAATCCCCCCAAAATATTATTTTTGTCAGTATGTACATCTCAGAACAGTCTGTGTTTTTGGAATGTAGATCTATTTCTATTTGAAGCTGCACATGAACATGTGTCCTGCTGCATCATTTTAAGTCACTCTGACCCAGAAAACACAGTTTCTACAACATAGTAGGCCTAAATAACTGAGACTTTTTTTAGTGGATAAACACAAAATGTGTTTATGGGTCAAAGTGACTGAAAAAGATAGAGTAGGTCATGTTCACAAAGTCACTCAAGAATAGCATCCTAATAGCTTCCTTGAAAAAAGGTGGTCATTTGATCTGTCTGTTCTGCCCATTTTAATTGGTGAGTGTTACAGACCTCTGACAGAAGAGGGCGATATTTCAGCAGCAATAGTCAGTGACATTTGTTTTGAGTCAAGTTTGAGTTGTTTTGTTACCACACATTTGCGCACACTCATATTTTTTATTTATAATTACTAAGTATGTAGTTGTGCAATATTCTGCAATATTACAACATTGGTTTATTAAGGGTTTCCCATTAATTCATTTTCTCGCGAACTGTTGTATACTCCACAGGCTTTGCCGTCTTCATCAGTCGCCAACAGTACTGGAAGTTTGACTCAGTTCAACGTAAGGTTTTGGAAGGTTACCCACGCTACGTTGGTGCAGACTTCTTTGGATGTAGCATGCCATAAACCCTCAGGAAACTTTTCTGTCTCTTACAACAACTTCTCACACTCTGGTCTAAAGCACACAGTGTAATATCCCTACTTTTTCATGACGAGGAACTGTACTATGTAACCTAAGTTCTTGTTCCCCAGCATTTCTCTTCCTTTCACCTCAAAAATGTCTGATTAATCTTATTTCTTCTCAGGAAATCTTGCACATCTGAGCTTTATGAACCACGAGCATCTATGTCTGTATTTGTTGTATTATCCAGCAACCACTGTGTAAAGAGACACAAATACCCTGTTGTTAAGGTGCTAAACAAGGTGCTAAAGCATTTGTCAGGGATCTTTGCACCAGTTGCAATGTCCATAACACTCGAAGTTTTTATGATTCGCTGCAAGTTGTACTGTAACTTAAACTATGCAGTTTGTATTGATATAATAACACAAGAAAACCCTATCTAGAGATTAGGTCTCTTTTTTGCATAGGGGAAGGATGTTTTTAAGATCACACAAACTCTTGACACATGATCATTTGTTTATAATATTGAGACTATAACAGGCAAACTGGCACTCTTCAGTGCAGGACACTGACAATGTTTTAAATCTTTTTGGTTTGTTTTGTTTTGTTTTTAATATACTGCAATAGATCATCTTGGCATATTTTTTCTTCACATCATCTGTGTATATATTTTTTTTCTATATTTTCTCTAGTTTTTGTAGTTCTTATACTATTTTCTTTGGCTTTTCATATTTACTATGTAAATACTTTTATAAAATGTGTGTTGTGTTTTGGTACAATTAAAATATTCCCTAAATTCCTACATTTTCTGTGATCCACTCATTTATTCATTAATTTGCAGTATGCACTGCATTAAAAAGAAAGAAAGCTATGAGAAAGAAGTCTTGGCCAAGTCATGGTTTTTTATAATATCTAATAATTATTCTAATATCTTCTATCAGATAATAGAAGATTAAAGAATATAAAACGAATTCAAAACTGAAAACACAATTTGAATATTTATAATTTATACAATTCCTAAAACAGTTACTTTCACGCCAATATGACTTTCATGACGTCGGTGGAACCGTGCAATCTCATTGGTCCACGGAACAACAAGCGATTTTTGCTTATATCCACGTGGAGGTGCTGAAGCGAAGCGACACACTCTGACTCCGCCCCCATTAAAACTTATATCCAAACGCAAACATTATGAACGATTAAAAATAAACAGTCTGAAGCTAACGCTAAACGTGGACATGGATCTACTGAGGCATTAAAGCCCATCCACAGTGAACCGATCGATCGTTGGTCAGCGTCAATGTACTGAAATGTGTTGTGGGAGAAGTGAGCATACGGATACACAGTGAAAATGTGCAGAAGAGTTTATTAATACGCCGGAGAAAAATCATGGCAAACAGCGTCACTCAAGAGTACATGCAGATCCCAGCCGTCACGCGAGCATATACTACTGCATGCGTCTTGACAACTGCAGCTGTGGTGAGTAAACCAGACGTTATACCTGATACTGGGCTTACATCGCAAGATAAATATAGAATCATCACATACTGAAGACTGTAAGTCAATATGTCTTCACAATTGTTATCATCTTCCCCACATTCAACATTCAGTGTCAGTGTAAATGCTCAAATAACCAACATAGTTATGAAAAAATAATTTTGTTTGTGTCAAGAATTGATTTTAGTCTATAATGTAAAAAAACATATTTTGTTTATATTTTATATAATTATCTTGTGTATTGTATTTTTTGTGCTGCATCTTTTACTGCAGTGTGACAAATACATTTTTAAAAGTGCAAATATTATAAACAGCTTCTCAGTTAATGAGGTCATAAAATATTATTTGTTATACATGATACAAAATGTTTTATAGGAAGGATAGCTTGTCACAGTTAACTACCCAATAATCACACTTACTTAAGAGTAATGGAATGTAGAGGAACAGTCTAGAATAGGTTAATTTTTCATGGTCACCAGAAAACTTTCTTGTGACTTGCTTGACTTTTTTTTGTTTATTACAGCAATTGGAGTTCATCACACCGTTTCAACTCTATTTTAACCCTGACTTAATATTAAAGAAATACCAGGTTAGTACCCTATTATCATTGAAACGTTGTATTTATCACAATCACTTTATCAAGCCTATTCATTCTTTTATTTTGATATACATTTATGTTTCCTCTCTTCCCCTTTGCAGGTATGGCGACTGATCACAAACTTCTTGTTTTTTGGACCTCTTGGATTCAGCTTCTTGTTCAATATGATTTTTCTGTATCCTTTTCTCGCTGTTGGCCGTCTGTGAAATGTTTAGGAAGTGTGCACACAAAAACACATTCACAGTTTCACAGTGTGTTTGCTTTGCATAATGGCCGTTTGGCTCGTATGCAGCTGTGCTGTAGGTCTTCTGAGTTTATGCCCTTGACTGAGCAGATATCGTTACTGTCGAATGCTGGAGGAAGGCTCTTTCCGCGGTCGAACGGCAGATTTTGTCTATATGTTCCTGTTCGGTGGTGTTCTTATGACTGTATCTTTCAGCATCCATCACATTAACAACAACCAAGAATGCATCTCTTCACCAAACCATGTATCATAAGTTGAAGTGTCAATGTTTATTCATAAGGAACATTTCATCCTTTCATATTGTTTATTCGTAGTGCTAAATTAAGTTTTTAGTTCTATTTCAGTCTTCTGTGTTTTTCATTTCTTTAACTCTAATGTCTATAGCTCTTTGGTCTATTTGCCAACCTGTTCTTTTTAGGACAGGCTTTTACTATAATGCTGGTTTATGTCTGGAGTAGAAGGAACCCTTATGTCCGCATGAACTTCTTTGGCCTGCTCAACTTCCAGGCCCCATTTCTTCCCTGGGTGCTCATGGGATTCTCGCTGTTACTGGGCAACTCTATTGTTATTGATCTCCTGGGTATGTTAACTTTTGTCCTGAAATGCTCATGACAAAAGAACTGACTTTGCATAAACATTACATAATGCAGTATTTGACATATTGTGAAATGTTATTACAGTTTAAAATAGCCGTATTCTCTTTGGATATATTTTAAAATGTAATTTATTTTTGTGTTGCAAAGCTGAATTTTTAGCAGCCATTGCTCCAGTCTTTTAGTGTCACGTGATACTTCAGAAATCATTTGAATATGCTGATTTGGTGATCAAGAAACATTTCTTCTTATTATCAGAGTTGAAAAGTTCAACTGCTTATATATTTATTCACATGATATATTTTTCAATGATAAAATATATTTATAGGACTCTTTGGAGTCTGTAGGACTCTTTATTTGATAAATGCATTTATTTAAAATAACTTACTGTCCCTTTTGATCAATTGATCAGTGTCCTTGCTGAATAAATTTTTTTTCTTAAAAATAAGTAAGTCATGTATGAATATTTCTGTGTATATATAGGGATCGGTGTAGGACACATCTATTACTTCCTGGAGGATGTATTTCCTAACCAGCCCGGAGGCAGAAAGCTTCTTGCCACTCCTGGAATTTTGTGAGTATGACTATAAATATTTGAAATATTTTTATTTTTATCATTTGTTTGCCTTCAACACAGAAAACGAAATCAGAAATATTTATTCATGTTTTGCAGTCGAGTTTTGTTTGACATGCCTCAAGAAGATCCGAATTACGCCCCTCTTCCGGAAGACCAGAGTGGGATATCCCGGAATGGACAAGGTCCAGAAGATGCTGGCCAAGGTCAAAATGATGAGGATCTTCAAGGAGAAGAAAACTGAAGGTTTCAATGTTTCAAAGACAGCAATAAATCTTGTCATACTTTTAAAGTCCTCCTTGTTTTAGTTGGGGAAGTTTATGTCTGCATGTCAAGTTCTAACTGTAATGGAAGACACTCCTTGATAAAGGGGTCCACTGTGGATCCAGAAAAGTTGGAGACCATGGCCACCTTAGTGCCTTTGTGTACAAAATAAATAGATCCAAATTTTGCATTCAGTGCCATGCACATCACAAACAGTTTTCCTTTGTTATTTTGTTCTGAAGGAACAATGCCTTTCTGTTTTACTTCACACCACATGGTTTGAAACAATTGCTGTTTTCTCGACAACTTCTCTTTAATGAATATTACAAAGCAGCGGTGGCTGGCAGGATTGGAGTTGAAAGAAGCCATTCAATCTCCCATACTATAATCCATCATTTTGGAGTGGGTGTGAACTCAAGAGGGTATTTTCTTGGGTACAATACTGTGGCATATCTCTTTTCCCACAACACAGTCAGCGGCGAGGCAGGTGGACACATTCACAAATGTGCCGACTATCTGAAATGCCAAATTGAACTGCAGACTATGCATTTTCAAGCCGTTGGCCTTTTGTTAGCACCATTGCAAAAAAAGCCAAAAAGCTTTTATGCACTGAAACTGAAAGATGGATTGTCTGGAAGAATGTGTGCTCCACAAAAAGATAAAATTTCCTAAAAACCACATGGATGCTTGGGTTTTTCTCTAAATATGAATACAAATACATTTGTTTGTCTGAAGGCTGATGTATTAAGTTTTCTTTTGTATTGTATTTGCCATGGGATTGTTTGTTGGATATTTCTGCTTTGCAAATAAAAATATGGCTTTTATTATACCCATATCGACAACACTCGAGTCACGTGACTAGTTTGCTAGTTCAGAACACAATACTGAGACTCTTATTTCTTAAGACACTTGGCCCATTTGGACTGTCCTTGCAAGTGCATTGCAAGTTTTGGGAACAAAAAGCATTCTAACAGAGATTTTCTTCATCTTAATTTTATTTAAAAGCACATTATGTTTACAAAATGGCATCTATACATAAACACAAAACAAGACAAATAAAGATACCATAAAATATTCTCAACATTTCAAGACAGAGACTGTCTGTCTCCAAGATGACAGATACTGGGTACGGGGGCAGGTCACGACACAGGCTTTGACTAGGCCAGATTGGAACAGATGTTGCTTTACTTTACAGTATGTTACTCTGATCTGGAGGGACTGGATCTGGACTGGCCAGTGGAATGTCTCTTATGTTTTTATGTCAGTAACGCTGGGTTGTAGCTCTATTGGTATTTGCCTCTTCAGATTTACATGGTTGTGGGAGGGGGCTGATATTTTCACCATGCTGGGGCCGTGTTTGCAAGTCGTCTCATTCGCCTGAAACAGAAAAAGTTTGATATGAGTCACAACTACTATTATTATTGGTCTTAGAGAAGTAATAGTTTGTCATTGTCATATGGCTTGTCTCTCTAGTTGGTACACATCTGCTATGGGGCAAAATGGTAATTTAAGTAAGGCAGTTAATTCTCTTACCTTGTGTTTCTGTCCTGGTCCCTGATCTTCTTCTCCATCTCAGCATCTGTCAGTGTCTCAAGCAGTGGACACCACTGGTCAGCATCACCTGTGTTCCGGATGGCAATCTCCACCGTGGGAAGAGGGTTCTCACTACAAAAAGACAAATTGTTCATTTTAGCCAGATCTTTTCTAGTAGTTTCACAAAACTCAGCTAAATTTACATCTTCCTCCCAGAGGAAGGCCAAGACCTTTTTGATGAGTTTCGTAATGTTCTAGACATCAGACACAGTCTGAAAAGATGTCCAACTTGGAGAAAGTTCACATTTGTTTGCAAATTCAAGTTGTGAACACTTTCCTATGCTCTTTAGCATATAAATGGAAAAATATTTAAATGAGTCAAACTCTAAAAATTTCTTTGTAACCATATGGGGACAATCAACATACAGCAATTTAACAATGCACAAACACTTTTTACCACATTTTATCTCTGAATTTATATTCGGCGTGGACTGTGATAAAGTGTCCTTTAATAAAGGATTTGAGAGTGCGTGTGTGTGTGTGCGCACGAGTCTGAACCTGAAGGCGTAGGTCCTCTGATGCCAGCTGAGCTGGCCGCGTATGCTGTATGCGATAGTGGTGACAAACTCTCCTCCCAAGCCCAGTTCAGAGCACAGCTTCAGAGCAAACTTCTCAGGAGAGTTCTCCTTCTCAGACATGTCCCATTCAAACTGGTCCACCAGAGATATGTTCCCAACATGGATGTTTAACTACATAGATAAAAACAAGAGCAATCAAAAAATCATGATAATCTATTTTTATTCAGCTGAAAAATAAACAAAATATTGATACTGCTATGTTGATGTTTAAAGATAGGATTATTGAAATCAAGGACAGAATGACGCATGTACCTTGATGATGACTCTCTGGTCCATCTGCTCATCCAGTATGCTGTCTGTGGTGTAGGACTCTATCTGCTGTCTGATGGCCGAGGCAATGGCTGGAACAAAGGTCAGTGGGCTCAGATCCAGATCATCGCAAAGGATTTCTGCAAACATCTCCGGAGTCATTAGCTTCTCTTTAAGGTTAAGGGAAAAAAAGAAGAGTTCAGGGTATTGTGTAATGCGGAATAAAAAACATTAAAAAATAACTTTAGTGGATGCTGCTCAGGAAGTGTGTAGGGAAGTCTACCATTCATGTTCCATGTGAAAGCATCACGCAGCTTCTGCCCGTCAATCTCCATGTCCAGTCGGATGGGCACCAGGATCTCAGGCTGAGTGGCATTCTCATGGATGACAGCAGGGTCATGATCATCAAAGCTGAAATAGCACACATCCAGGGTGTAAAAAATGAAACCAGTTAAATTATATACAGGGGTAGGACAAAACAATGTGATACATAACTTGTGTAGACTACAGTAAAAAAAAAAAAAAAAAAAAAAAATTGTAATGATCTTTTTTTTTTTCTTTTTGTTGTCTATATTCTGTATGTTTAATATCAGTGTAGTACAAGTTCTTTTCAGCAGTGTTTAGTTCAAGTGCATAAGGGAAAATCATGCAAGCCCATTTATCAGGAATGTCTGTAACCTTTATGTCCCAACTGTTTAATGTCTTAAAAACAACATGACTGTGTACACAAAGCATGGCAAGACTTCAGCAGTGAAAAAGAATAGTGGGCAAAACCGAAAGTAAATGATAGGGACCATCAAACACTAAGAAGAAGTATTGTGTACAAACAACACAGAACTATTGCAGCAAAAGTGACAGAAAACCTCAATATTCACCCTAAAGACCCTGTTTCCACAAAAAACTGAACACAGAGAGCTTCACAAAGGCAACATCCATGAAAGAGCTGCAATTGCTACAACTTTAATCACAAACCAATGCGCAAAATATGGTGTCATGATGATGATCATGAAACCTGGACAGTTGGAGCACCAAGATAAACATCTGCTCTTGCCAGACAACTCACTGTCCGCAGTTTTTGAAGAGAAAAAAGAGAAGCAGATTTCCTCCTCAAAAATCTCTCAAGCAAATAGCAGATGTTTTGATAGGCAACATTCAACTGGAGACTATTCAAAAGTTGTATGAATCTATTCAAAGAAAGTTGGAAGCTGTATTAAAGAAATATTGCCTATTTCCCAGCTCTTCACACTATGTCCAACACTGTATGTGTGTGTGTGTGTGTGTGTGTGTGTGTGTGTATATGGGTGGACTGTCCCTTTAAGCAGACAACAAAATCATTACAGGAGTGAGTCTTTATATGTTTTCACATATGCTGTCAAAAACGGATGAATTTCACTACTTTATGAACTGTGATGCTCAGCTCAATGTGAAATTGAAAGATTATTTAAAAAAAAAAAAAAGAGAAAAATTTCACCAGAGCGGGAAGGTCCTTTTTTTGTCACGTCCCATTCGATTGCGGTTAATGGTGGTGGAGCAAGGCACAGCGTCCAAGTGATGGGAACTGTTGGGAAGAGTGGGCACCCACTGACTGTTTCTCTTGGCTTTCTGTTCCCTGTTAAAAAAAAAACAAAAAAACATGGGTTAAATAAGCAGATGTGCTGTCATGCAACAACTACAGCTGCACAAAAAATGACCTAATAATAAACAGAAGGTTATCATTGGTGTGGATGCTAATGTAGTTATGGTTGCGGTTATCGTTCTTGGTGTGAACGGGCCTTACGTCTACTAAGCATCATAAATTCTTCACTAGTGTCATCACTCAAAAATATTCACACGTCTTCGTGTGGCAACTTCCTATTAAAATCTTTTAGTGAAAAACATTTGTAGATGAATATTGATGTTTATGTATTGATAAACTTGTCCATAAAAATGATTAACTATGGTTCTTTTTTTTGGGGGTTGCTTGTTGAAATTGATAAAAAAAAAAAAAAAACACCTATAGAGATATTTATATAAATATAATTTATTTCTTGCAACAACAGAGGAAAGGAGAACCCCAATGAAAGAAGTTTATTTTCCCTAAATGTATTATTTAAATGACCTATATAATGCAACAAGACTATAATATTAATCAGTTATGAGAAATGTAATTGTTGCAATTTTTATTATAAATAAGAATCCTTTTTAATGACCATGTTCAAACACCAAGCAAGTGTGAATGTATTTTCTTTATCAAAGGTGAGAAATGGTTTACCTGAGATAGGCTGGAGGTTCAGTGCTGATGGACACGGCCTTGTACTTCTCGTCATGTCCCTCAAATATCTCCTCTACTTCTGAGGCCTTCAGCAGCGTCACACTGGTGGCTAAAGTGGTGTAACCGTGATCTAACACAAAACATTGCTTATACTGTAAGATAGAAAGTGCCACTTCCAGCGTACTCTAACCCTTTAGGTCCTTAGACCTCGTATCAAATGTGTACAGTGAATACCACACTTACCGTGAGATGATGCTACGATCTTCTTTCTCTCTTCTACTGTCGCTAGTCTTCTTGAGAGTGATGGGTAGCGCTTATATAAGGACCCTCTGAACATACGCAAGTAATTCCCCACCTAAAAACAGACATATAATGGAAAATGATATAAGACTGACTAAATAATTAGCCGTAGTTCTATCAGTGACTGTACTCTTTAACGTTATCTCTGGTAAACTCGCATCGTGTAATAACACTACTACACCGCAAAGGATAGCCCTATACTTGATGTGTAAAACGCCAGGACTGATTCTTTTCAATGATTCATCAATCAGTTAAGAGATCTTATCCCAAATGACAACAATCTTAGCTAGCTAGCTAGCTAATGTATTAGCACTCAATGCAAAACAATGTGCGGTTTATACAAACATAAATCATCGTAAAAAAGAGTAGTGCGTTAAATTGCACACCTCTGATCCAATCATGTAAAATTCTCCATCCTCCTCCAGTTGGAATTTAACAGGTTTCTGTCCGTATGTTTTGCTTAACGCCATGTTAAACGTTAGCGCGACCCGTTCCGTTGAACATAAGTATTAGCGAAGCGCCGGAAGTGGCTAGAATGGATACAGCTACGGGCGGAAGTGACGAAAGTCTTGCAAAATCTCGCGGCGAAAATGCCAAACGGTTGTTGTCAACGATTCCCCTCAAAGGGGTGTTTTGATCGTAAACTTAGGGGGTTCGAGGAGGACACGATGACAAAGTTTGTCGTTTGGACGAAAGACAAGACTTTTGGTGTGGACGGTGAGATTTTATAGCTCTAAAAATGACAAGATGTAAATCAGGTTTTATTTGGTGTATTTCCCAAAGCTAGATATTGCGCTGAGAACACCGATTTACTGTAGTTAACTAACTTTTACAGTTAGTTAACTGTAAAACCCAAACCCGTA